GTCTTGAAGGTAGCCAGGGGTCTTGAAGACAGCCAAGAGTCTTGAAGACAGCCAGGAGTCTTGAAGACAGCCAGGGGTCTTGAAGGCAGCCAGGAGTCTTGAAGACAGCCAGGAGTCTTGAAGACAGCCAGGAGTCTTGAAGACAGCCAGGGGTCTTGAAGGTAGCCAGGGGTCTTGAAGGTAGCCAGGAGTCTTGAAGACAGCCAGGAGTCTTGAAGACAGCCAAGAGTCTTGAAGACAGCCAGGAGTCTTGAGGACAGTCTATTGGAAATTCCCCTTGTGATGGGAAGCAAATGAAGAGTCTTGGGCCTCGAACTTTTATTGTGTTGCCTCTTAGTGTACTCATGGCACCTTTGACTGTCATTGGGGGATGTTGCACTGCCTCCCGAATCTTTTGCTTTCATAGGGAGTTATTTGTGTGTGCAGATTTGGGACAAGTCCCTCAAGGATTTTCCAGGTGTAAATGATTAAGTATCTTTCTCGCCTGCATTCCAAGGAATACAGGTCAAGGGACTTCAATCGTTCCAAGTAATTAAGATGCTTCACTGAACTCATGTACAGTGAAGGTCCTCTGTACATTCTCCAGATATCCAGTTTCGCTGCCTCGGAGGATACTGTTAGTGTAGAACACGTGTCCTACAGAGGATCACAGTGGCTTGGTATCCTTTATTGTATTGCTGGTTGAAAATGAAGCAGGTGGTGGTGTTCAGGGCTGCTGGTGGTGGTGTTCAGGGCTGCTGGTGGTGGTGTTCAGGGCTGCTGGTGGTGGTGGTGTTCAGGGCTGCTGGTGGTTGTGGTGTTCAGGGCTGGTGGTGGTGGTGGTGTTCAGGGTTGCTGGTGGTGGTGGTGTTCAGGGCTGCTGGTGGTGGTGGTGTTCAGGGCTGCTGGTGGTGGTGGTGTTCAGGGCTGCTGGTGGTGGTGTTCAGGGCTGCTGGTTGGTGGTGGTGTTCAGGGCTGCTGGTGGTGGTGGTGTTCAGGGCTGCTGGTGGTGTTGGTGTTCAGGGCTGCTGGTGGTGGTGGTGTTCAGGGCTATGGTGGTGGTGGTGTCCAGGGCTGCCTGGTGGTGGTGGTGTTCAGGGCTGCTGGTGGTGGTGTTCAGGGCTGCTGGTGGTGGTGGTGTTCAGGGCTGGTGGTGGTGGTGGTGTTCAGGGCTGCCTGGTGGTGTTGGTGTTCAGGGCTGCTGGCGGTGGTGGTGTTCAGGGCTACTGGTGGTGGTGGTGTCCAGGGCTGCTGGTGGTGGTGGTGTTCAGGGCTGCTGGTGGTGGTGTTCAGGGTGCTGGTGGTGGTGGTGGTGTTCAGGGCTGCTGCTGCTGGTGGTGGTGTTCAGGGCTGCTGGTGGTGGTGGTGTCCAGGGCTGCTGGTGGTGGTGGTGCTCAGGGTTGCTGGTGGTGGTGGTGTTCAGGGCTGCTGCTGGTGGTGGTGTTCAGGGCTGCCTGATGGTGGTGGTGGTGTTCAGGGCTGCTGGTGGTGGTGGTGTTCAGGGCTGCTGCTGGTGGTATTCAGGGCTGCTGGTGGTGGTGGTGTTCAGGGCTGCTGGTGGTGGTGGTGTTCAGGGCTGCCTGGTGGTGGGGGTTTTTCAGGGTGCGGGTTTGGTGGTGGTGTTCAGGGTGTGGTGGTGGTGGTGTCCAGGGCTGCCTGGTGGTGGTGGTTTTCAGGGCTGCTGGTGGTGGTGTTCAGGGCTGCTGGTGGTGGTGGTGTTCAGGGCTGGTGGTGGTGGTGGTGTTCAGGGCTGCCTGGGGGTTGGTGTTCAGGGCTGTTGGCGGTGGTGGTTTTCAGGGCTATGGTGGTGGGGGTGTCCAGGGCTGCTGGTGGTGGTGGTGTTCAGGGCTGTGGTGGTGGTGTTCAGGGCTGCTGGTGGTGGGGTGGTGGTGTTCAGGGCTGCTGCTGCTGGTGGTGGTGTTCAGGGCTGCTGGTGGTGGTGGTGTCCAGGGCTGCTGGTGGGGGTTTATTCAGGGCTGCTGGTGATGGTGGTGTTCAGGGTGCTGGTGGTGGTGGTGGTGTTCAGGGCTGCCTGGTGGTGGGGGTTTGTTCAGGTGGCTGCTGGTGGGGTGGTGTTCAGGGCTGCTGGTGGTGGTATTCAGGGCTGCTGGTGGTGGTGGTGTTCAGGGCTGCTGGTGGTGGTGGTGTTCAGGGCTGCCTGGTGGTGGTGGGTCAGGGCTGCTGGTGGTGGTGGTGTTCAGGGCGGGGGGGGTGGTGTCCAGGGCTGCCTGGTGGTGGTGGTGTTTCAGGGCTGTGGTGGTGGTGTTCAGGGCTGTGGTGGTGGTGGGGGTGTTCAGGGCTATGCTGGTGGTGGTGGTTTTCCAGGGCTGTGGTGGTGGTGGTGTTCAGGGTTGCTGGTGGTGGTGGTGTTCAGGGCTGCTGGTGGTGGTGGTGTTCGGGGCCCTGCCTGGTGGTGGTGGTGTTCAGGGCTGCTGCTGGTGGTGGTGTTTCAGGGTGGGGGTGGTGTTCGGGGCTGCGGGTGGTGGTGGTGTTCAGGGCTGCTGGTGGTGGTGGTGTTCAGGGTGCTGGTGGTGGTGGTGTTCAGGGCTGCTGGTGGTGGTGGTGTTCGGGGCTGCCTGGTGGTGGTGGTGTTCAGGGCTGCTGGTGGTGGTGGTGTCAGGGCGCTGGTGGTGGTGGTGTCCAGGGCTGCTGGTGGTGGTGGTGTTCAGGGCTGCTGGTGGTAGTGGTGTTCAGGGTGCTGGTGGTGGTGGTGTTCAGGGCTGCCTGGTGGTGGTGGTGGTTCAGGGCTGCTGGTGGTGGTGGTGTTCAGGGCTGCTGGTGGTGTTGGTGTCCAGGGCTGCTGGTGGTGGTGGTGTTCAGGGCTGCTGGTGGTGTGGTGGTGTTCAGGGCTGCTGGTGGTGGTGGTATTACAGGGCTGCTGGTGGTGGTGGTGTTCAGGGCTGCTTGTGGTGGTGTTCCAGGGCTGCTGGTGGTGGTGGTGGTGTTCAAGGCTGCTGGTGTGTGGTGGTGTTCAGGGGCTGCTGGTGGTGGTGGTGTTCAGGGCTGCTGCTGGTGGTGGTGTCCAGGGCTGCCTGGTGGTGGTGGTGTTCAGGGCTGCTGGTGGTGGTGTTCAGGGCTGCTGGTGGTGGTGGTGGTGTTGAGGGCTGCTGGTGGTGGTGGTGTCCAGGGCTGCTGGTGGTGGTGGTGTTCAGGGTTGCTGGTGGTGGTGGTGTTCAGGGCTGCTGGTGGTGGTGGTGTTCAGGGCTGCCTGGTGGTGGTGGTGTTCAGGGCTGCTGCTGGTGGTGGTGTTCAGGGCTGGTGGTGGTGTTCAGGGCTGCTGGTGGTGGTGGTGTTCAGGGCTGCTGGTGGTGGTGGTGTTCAGGGCTGTGGTGGTGGTGGTGTTCAGGGCTGCTGGTGGTGGTGGTGTTCAGGCTGCCTGGTGGTGGTGGTGTTCAGGGCTGCTGGTGGTGGTGGTGTTCAGGGCTGCTGGTGGTGGTGGTGTCCAGGGCTGCTGGTGGTGGTGGTGTTCAGGGCTGCTGGTGGTAGTGGTGTTCAGGGCTGCTGGTGGTGGTGGTGTTCAGGGCTGCTGGTGGTGGTGGTGTTCAGGGCTGCTGGTGGTGGTGGTGTTCAGGGCTGCTGGTGGTGTTGGTGTCCAGGGCTGCTTGGTGGTGGTGGTGTTCAGGGCTGATGGTGGTGGTGGTGTTCAGGGCTGCTGGTGGTGGTGGTATACAGGGCTGCTGGTGGTGGTGGTGTTCAGGGCTGCTTGTGGTGGTGTCATGGGCTGCTGGTGGTGGTGGTGGTGTTCAAGGCTGCTGGTGGTGGTGGTGTTCAGGGCTGCTGGTGGTGGTGGTGTTCAGGGCTGCTGCTGGTGGTGGTGTTCAGGGCTGCTGGTGGTGGTGGTGTCCAGGGCTGCTGGTGGTGGTGGTGTTCAGGGCTGCTGGTGGTGGTGGTGTTCAGGGCTGCTGGTGGTGGTGGTGTTCAGGGCTGCTGGTGGTGGTGGTGTTCAGGGCTGCTGGTGGTGGTGGTGTCCAGGGCTGCTGGTGGTGGTGGTGTTCAGGGCTGCTGGTGGTGGTGGTGTCCAGGGCTGCTGCTGGTGGTGGTGTTCAGGGCTGCTCATGGTGGTGGTGTCCAGGGCTGCTGGTGGTGGTGGTGTCCAGGGATGCTGGTGATAGTGGTGTTGGGCTCTTGGTAGTGTCCAGAAATGACAGTGGTGGTGGTGGTGTCCAGGGCTGCTGGTGGTGGTGGTGTCCAGGGATGCTGGTGATAGTGGTGTTGGGCTCTTGGTGGTGTCCAGAAATGACAGTGGTGGTGGTGGTGGTGTCCAGGGATTCTAATGGAGTCCGAGGATGATGTTGGTGGGGGTGGTGGTGTTCATGCTGGTAGTGTCGGTGTTGTCCAGGGATGATAGTGGTGGTGGTGTCCAGGGATGGTGGTAGTACTGTACATTGGTGGCGGTGTTGGTGTCCAGGGATGCTAATAGTGGTGGAATCCAGAGATGCTAGTAATGGTGGTGTCCAGGGATGGTGGTAGTACTGTCCGGTGGTGGTGGTGTCCAGGGATGGTGGTGGTGGTGTCCAGGGATGGTGTCCAGGGATGGTGGTGTCCAGGGATGGTGGTGTCCAGGGATGGTGGTGGTGAGTGTCCGGATGGTGGTGGTTGAGTGTCCAGGGATGGTGGTGGTGAGTGTCCAGGGATGGTGGTGGTGAGTGTCCAGGGATGGTGGTGGTGGTGTCCAGGGATGGTGGTGGTGTCCAGGGATGGTGGTAGTATTGTCCAGGGATGGTGGTAGTATTGTACATGGATGGTGGTAGTATTGTCCAGGGATGGTGGTAGTATTGTCCAGAGATGGTGGTAGTATTGTCCAGGGATGGTGGTAGTATTGTCCAGGGATGCTGGCAGTGGATGGCGGGGAGGAGAGGATGCTGGCAGAGATTGTGAGGTGGGAGTAAGATAGACAGAAGTACAGAAGACAATCATGACACCTGCAAACACACACAGTAAACACCGGAGAGTGAGAGAGAGAGGGGGGAGGAGAGGGAAGGGGTCGTAAGGGAAGGGGAAGAGGGATAGAGGAGCCTCACCTGCTGTCTGGAGGAGGGGAGGCAGGAGGAGGCAGCAACTGAAGCCTGAGTAAGCCAGCAACAACAACGATCCACCTTCACTCACGTCCGCGCACACACTGACCGTCTCCTGGTCTCTCCCTCCCTTCACACTCACACACACATGCACTCAAACATGCACTCACACACGCACTTTCCCCTCCATGACCGCATGCACAGCCAGCAGCTGCACGCTGCTCTTATATCCTTCCCTCAGGAGGTGAGAGACAGGCTTGGAGCCTCGCCCAGAGATATACATTATCCACAGGCACCCACACACTCTATGTATTAAAATTAACAGTGTCCTTTATACTACAACGTAATATAAAGTTTGGCCTCAGAGAGGACTTCCAGAGCTGGCCTCTCGAAGCTGGTTACAGGTACACCGCAAGGAATATACAGTGTGTGCACTATGTTTACCTTGGGCAGGGTTGGTTGCTTAATGGAGGTTTGAAGCCTATCTACTACACTAGGGTTTTTCAAGGTTGCGCGTAACTTCACCACCAGACAAGAATACTTGAATCCCTAAAATAGGGATTAGAATAAACTCTCAGAGAAATACACCTCTCGATGCATATATCCAGTAGCCTGGATAAATGTATTAATGGTACACTTACTTCATTCAGTGAATAAGAAAAGGAAGATCACAAATTAATCATGAAAAACATTTTTAACATGGAAAAATGAGATGTCTCACCATTTTTTACAAACACTATTATAGTGTTCATAAAAAATAGCGAAATCATTACAAAATTCTAGAAAGAAGAAATTTCATAAATGCATCTCCCTAGATGTATTTCTCTCTCGTTTTCGAGAAATGAATAATTAAAATAGTGTTACTACTACAACTGTGGGAGCAGCTCAACCTGACCACCTCTGTATGCATGCCCGGTACAAGGCCGTGGAATCCTCTGGATCCTGCAACATCTCAGGGTGCCCGGGTGATGAATGGGCAGATAGTGAGGCCCAGACTGCTACACCAAGCTTGTTCCATACCAAACTTGTACCTGACAGACCTTCGTGAGTCGCATTCATGGCTACATTTTAGCTCCTCTTGCAGACGAGCGACAAGTCAATGTCATTTTTTGTAAGAGAGTTTGGTCTTCTTTTCACAAGAATTGTCTTTATGGGACAATTCTCTGTCGATAAAAGATAGAATACACACACACCACAGCATCCTTTATGTACCCATAACTTGTGTGTCCTCAAGACTATTGTATAAATAAATATCTCTTATATACCCAAATCTTAAATAAAAACTTAGTCCTGGAGAGGAGACAACACGATCTTAATTTCGTTTCTGTAGTCACTGTTAGATTTCACGACACAAAGTTGGGAGATCAACTTGTGCCCACCAACACAGGTGTGACTTTTTTAAATCATGTTAAAATTACCAGTTGAAATATATTGGGTAAACTGAAGTATGAGTCTCCACAAGATACTATCACTCAGTTCCATGTCCACTGTTCAAAGGAAATGTTCAACTTTGCAATATTATTTTGAAAAAGCTAATGCTAGTATCTTGTTTTCATAACTACATTTTTAGGGTAAACTGAGTTAAAATTCTCTCTGTGAATCTGATGTTTTCCTCTCACGTGGGTAAAGTGAAGCTTGACACTTTAATGCTCCCAACTTCTGACTTTACAGCCTCTTTGGGAATTCCGTAAGGAACTGCCTCTAGGAGCCCCGATGGCCTGGTTGGTAAAGCTCTCGCTTCACACACAGAGGGCCCGGGTTCGACACCAGGCGGGGTGAAAACATATCGACGTGTTTCCATGCATGTCCTGTTCAGCAAGTAGGTACCTGGGTGTTAGTGGACTGGTGTGGGTGGCATCCTGGGGGACAAGATTGAGGACCACAATGGAAATAAGTAAGCCTTCTAGCCCATGTTAGGTAGGTTCAACTCACACACACACTCATGTACTCGTGCTATTTATATTTAAAACTATTCAAAGCTCCCTCCTCTATGATGCTACCTGAGAGTTTTTTCTAGGAATTCATCCTGCAAAATTACTTGTAAACTGCAAACTGCAAAGCCCATATATAGGCTGATAAAAATTATATTTTCTTATAAGACAAGTAAGCTGTCTTAAAATATTACTGAGTTCGTTTAGTTATCAAAACTGACTATGTTATGTGATACAAATATGGATATAGATTGCTTATATTTACTGTAATATCTTTGAATACTACATATATGATCCTTGTGGGTCAGCGCTTAGTTATGATTATAATAATTATAATTTTAATAATATAGGTCTAACAAAAGGAAACAGACATTCAAATAAACAAAAATAACCATGAAGATACATTAGTTACCCTTAAATCGTTTTCTTTAATAAGTAACAAATTAGGTTTTCTTCTAAATTTTAATGATTAGCTCAAGTATTAATTACACTTCACAATACAGGTGAAAATTTCCTTCGGATTATTTACCCAGGAGGATTACTAGCTTTAAATAACTCTTACGGGTTATGCATCACCTGGGAGGCAATCAGGTTCGATCCATGGAAGGGAAGGTAACGTCCAATACTTTAGATGAAGAACTCTTCAGTGTTGAGAGAAATTATTTAAAACGCAACACCAAGGTAAAATTAACGCAAATGTGGTTTAATATCATCCTTTATTTGCGATATTTCGTCCATACAGTGAGCTTTAGCAAATCAAACATAAACTTAGACAGGAAAACTGAGTATATATAGGACAGCACAGGGAGGTAGGTGGTGTGCTAGTCACTGTAGTGGTGAGAGGTCGGTAGGTCACTGCAGTAGCATGATAACGGGTCACTGCAGTGGTACGAGGTCTCATGGCATGAGGCTCAGTTATATTATAGAAACCGGTGTTTTGGATGAAAATGTTGGAAATACCTAAGGGAGCAGAGTCTAGAATTCTTCACCTCTGGGTGTCCTCTTTGAAAATTTAGCACTTTCTTGTAATTAATCGAATGTTATTGAAGTGTTGGCGTGAACTTGGAATTTGGAGTTGTGAGAGTATTGGAGACATGATTGATAACAGAGTTATTAGGGAATACCACTTATCTTCGTTCAGTGGTGTATTTTCTGGACGAGTTAATATTTTGTGCACGACGTTTGTAATATTTTATGAAGTGTTGAGGGAAGAGAAGTTTGGAAAAGACTTGTTCGATGAACCAGCATTCTTATAATTCATTCTTGCAGATACGAAGAGCCTGTAGGAAGAAGCCAGTTGATGATATTGCGTTTAGTCATATTGAAACAGATCATATTTTACATAATGCTCAAAATAGGCATAACATCTGAACAGTAACTGAATCGTAAGTGTGAACTCTGGTTCATGACGTGAGAGGGAGGGGAGGATAGAGGTTTGTAAAGAGATGGTAATAGTAGTCTGCGTCCTCCATCTCTTGTAGTTATCGAGATAACTAACGATCTCGCGTCGTTTAATAGTACATTGAAGTACATTATGTATGTACAGGAGTTAGTGTAGCCTTCACAATGTTACAAGTAGATAATGACAGTGTGATGGTCAAGGTCAATCAACTTTATTTTTTAATTACATTACCTAACAGAATACTCCATTCTACTGAATGCTCAGCAACACAGTAAATGACCATATGACCTGTCTTTGTAATACTCATTTGTGCTAAATTGTTATCTATTTACAATAATGTTTTTACCACTGAATATACCATTGCTTAGTTAATCTTAAGTTAATTTTAAGCCTGTCCATAATGCTCTGCATACAAGGGGCTTTGGCATGTTGCACTGTAATAACTGTATTCCTGTATCATGTTCAAATTAATAAATAAATAAATAAATAAAGGTAAGTAGCTCAAGTTAAGATCGAGCCCTCCCCACACACCATATACAAGACAGATCTCAGTAAATGCATAAATTTTAGTATTCCCAGTGCTCTTTTGTGATATGTGGCGCGTGATAATCAATCTATATTAAGCCATTGTACTTATTATAACCAATACAAACTACAGCCTATGGCCACTCAAATTGTACAATATTTCTTGCCATGGCCTGGTCACGGACCGGGCCGCGGGGGCGTTGACCCTTTAAAACCTCCTGCAGGTATGTTAGATTTTCCAGTGCGCGCCATGGAGGTACAGTTGCAGTGAACGATGCAGCGGTAGCATACACGGTAATAATTCCCAGTTATCCCTTCAGACTAATTATTCTGTATAGGTGTTAATTCTGGGCTGATCACGTAACCTACTGACGCTCAGCCGGATCTGCTGGACTCCCACACTCGTCCTTGAGTTACAAAAAAAAAATATATATATATATATATATATATATATATGTATATATATGCAAGGAATTCGCGAGAGCATGCGAAATATACACAAACACTGATCTGGCTGAAGGAGACTCGAACATACGAACCTTAGGACAAGGTACGCATTGCTTTACCAATCTACCTACACTGGACCCAGTGTGGGTAGATTGGTAAAGCACTGTGTACCTTGTCCTAAGGTTCGTAGGTTCGAGTCTCCTTCAGCCAGAGATCAGTGTTTATATATATATATATATATATATATATATATATATATCGTACCGAATAGGTAAAACTTGCGATTTTGGCTTAAATAGCAAAGCTATTTTTGCCGAATAAGGCAAGCGAAAATTTGCGTATGCAATAATTTCGCAAAAATCATTCTGAACCTAATGAAAAAAAATATATTTCATTGTGTTTTTGTTTATTAAATTATGTTAAACTTATCTAAAATATTTTTAGTTGAATTAGGCTAAATTAAATTGCGCTTGCTATTATAAGGTTAGGTAAGCTTTCTAAGGTTCTTTTGGCACAAAATTATTAATTTTTACATTAACATAAATGAAAAAAATATATATCTTTAAAGGTATAAGAGAAAATTTTAGAAAGGGCTTAATTTGAAATGATTCTTGCTAATTGACCAATTTTACGTATTCGGCACGACATATATATATTCATACAATTATACTAATCATACATACATCACACATGCATACTAGTTATACGTGCCTCACGCATACTAGTCATACATTCATTCTCACGCTGTCATACGTGTATCATCACATGTATAATAGTGACCCATGCATCCTCACATGTAGTCATTATTCATCCTCACACATGTATACAAATTTCTCACATAACCTACGTATACCTATATTACATACCTCATTTAACTCAACATATATGACAGTTCAGTTTACTTGTCATAAAATTTTCTGAAATATTACAGAACACATGATTGAGCCTAGTGATGCCTAGCACTGAAGCAAGGACACTCGTTTTGCCCTTAGTTTCTATAATACTGATACTACTACTACTATTAATAATAATAATAAAGCAAAGATAATCAAGAAATACTATATAGAGGGTAATTTTATTCATATACTTTTCATAATATCAAATTCAACTATTGTATACTTAAATTCATAGATTGATAATTGCAATCCTTATATGTAAGAGATATTATTATATTAACAAGAGAGTAACGAGGTCTGTAGCTACAGCGCAGTTTAGGTAAGTAATAAGTCTTACACCTAACATTTGTATTTCAAGTAGCATGTTACACAGCTGTGGCTGCCATGAATACTGAGGCTGGCATCAACACCATTCCACGGTGTTTAAATTTAATCAACACAAGGCATGGACCAGTACACTCCAGTTCTACCTTCACCGCAGCAGCGGTGATGATCCCTACGGATTTTGCGCTTTTTTCTGGGCATAATAATCCCATATTGCTGCGGCAGACGTTTCAATCACCGTCATCTTTGTCCAGCTCGAAGTGTTGGTCGAGTGGAATGCTGCCTCATTCCACCAGCACCTCATTAACATTCTGTGTCCCAGTCGCTGTCATCATCGTCATCGTCGACGTCTTCGTCAGTATCAGAGTTATTGTCAGAATGGATGAACTGTGCTCGCTCCTGCAGTGCTCTGTGCAGGTCCAGAGCGATACCTTCCAACCCTAGTGGCTCGTCTGCCTTACTCTCACTCTCCGACGGTGATACCTGAAGATACCACAAGCAGATTCATTTATATTCATTAATCTCTCCTTCTCTCATGAGAGATTAAACATGTAACATCATTATTACGAAAGAACATACAGAATAAAGGCTAAAAACTGTTTTAATCCAATTACACGTAGAATACAAAGACATAACACAGACTTTCAAGATATTTAATTATATTTATTAATTCATATCAGTAGATTTAGGAATTTGTGTAAGTTATTCAGCACAAAAACTGCTGGAGGCTCGATCCTCCGTCGACTGAGCCGACACAGGAAAAACTATAATGAAAGTGGGGCCAAGAGATATAGACTGAAACACATTACTTTCACAGCTGAAATGCAATATAAACAGAGTATCTGTATGATGTAATTAAGCAAGTTGTAGTCAAGGCAGTTAGAATTTTACCAAAACTATGGAGGATTTGATGGAGTTATATAAGGATAATTTGTAAAAACAGTTATACCTGAATGCTCAACAGCCATTATAGAGGCTGAAATGTATTGTCTGTATCATAACATAGTCACTCACAGGACACATGATACTACCCAATACCTTTTATGGCAGTATGCCCACTTATGAGTGTTACTGCCCAGTACTTCTTTACGACAGCACATTCACTCAGTATGAGCGGCACTGCTAATGACAATTAGCTAAACATTTTTAACTATACAGAATTATACCAGGGAAAAAATATCCTAGCCTCATTTAAGAGTAATTAAAGCTTTATAATATGTATAGCATAAAAGAAAACTGAATGGATGCAGAAAGGAGTGGATAATGTAATGGGACTCTTTTGTAAGTAACTTGTCTATCTTGACTGGCAAATTTAGCAAGGACAGTAGTTATTATTTAAAGATATTTGCATAGATCAAAAGAATCATGTAATCTACTCGGTCCATGCACTATTTTCGGGGGGGTAGTTGCTTGTTAAGAAAATGAATCCTGACAAGGATGTTTCATGACCCATTTAGTAGTTAAGCATCTGATAGCCTACTAGAGTTACAAAAAGAGGAACACCACAGTAATGTCCCAAGATGTAATTCGACAATGTACTCTCCATGCATGTGACAAGCGCAGAGTCCAACCATTACTACCTTCTGCAGCCTGAAGGCGCCATTCTTGATGTCATCGAGGAGCTGAGCTCTACAGTCAGTCTGAGTGGATATGCCAGCCGGCCGCTGCTCCACCTTCTGAGGGCACAAAGATGAATAAGGTTTGTACTTAGATACATCCACAGTGTGCAGTTACACTATTCTATGATAGGATCACTGAGAACACCTGCATTGTGCAATTATCCTATCCTATATGAGAAGTTACACAGCAAAAACCGCTTGCAATGTAAGGCTACCTTATTCTGTATCATTGTTAAACTGTAAGAATACCTGCAGTGTTTAACTATTCTATTCTATATGATAGTTACAATGACAACACTCGTAGTGTGTGACTATTCTTTATGATAGAACAGAGTATGAACCAAAGATACTGTAGCTTTTTCCTTGTCATATTTTATCACATATATCAGGTAATGGAAATCTGTTAGTCTGAACTGGGAGATTTCAGACAAGTTATGAAGACTGTTAAGCATCAAGCTTTATACATACGAGGGGAAGGAGGAAGATGCGAGGGGAAGGAGGAAGATGCGAGGGGAAGGAGGAAGATGCGAGGGGAAGGGGATAATACAACGTAGTAAACCAGATTAATTTAATCTTATCTTAAAAGGCTATACTAGTCATAATTGAGTAATTAAAGTTATAAAAGCTCTTGTTTACTGCAAAAATAAATTTATTAAGTTGTAATAGCTCTGAAATCAAGAGAATGTAAACTAGCAGAGCTGAGGTTGTCTTCGGTAAATAATAATCATAACTTTTGATACGATAAATTCTTGTCACGTCTGACAACTTACATTGAGAGGCTTGCCGCTACGAATCTGCTCGAGGAGTGCAGAACGTGGGTCCTGTGGCGCATGGGAGTCTCTACCCTGCTGGGAATGGTGTGTACTCGATGGAGGCAGGGGTGGTGGAGGAGGTATAACTGACCTCTTGGATGATGGCAGTGGTGGTGGTGGGGGCACGAAGTAGCTGGATGAGAGTAGTGAAGAGGTTTCACTGCTTTTCGGCATGGGTGGTGGTGGCGGTATTGCACTGTTGCTCTTTGGAATAGGTGGTGGAGGAGGAATTGGTATACCTCTGGGCATGGGTGGTGGTGGTAGTGGAGGTACTGTAGCACCCATAGGCAGCTGAGGGGCAGGTTCTTTTGGTGGGGAGACTGAGTGATCGTGACGGTGGGCAGACACTAACAGTGTTTCACTCAGCACTCCTGCACGAAACAGTAGAGTTATTCTTAGAAGTTAAACACATTTTTATTTAATATACCGTGCAGCTGCACATCCTAGGGGAAAGTAGAGTAAGTAATGGAGTTATAGGCTAATAAATCGTGGGTGTCTCTATTTAATTATACTAAGAAGCATTATGAACTACAAAAAAATTGAGAAGATAATGTTAAAAGTGCAATGCAAAGATGCTGTAGCTGACAAGCAAATTAGTAATTGGGATAATGGAATCACGTGTGGAATAATTAAAGCACTTACTAAAGTCATACAACCCTTATCAGAATACAAGTAAAATATTGAAGGAAATCGCTATCATTTCCAACTCTTTCGGAGACCGAGCTTGGTGAAAGCTAAACTTAATTAAGTGGCCATCAGTGACTTTTGGACTGAAGAGTTCAGGGACCAAATATCCAAATTTCTATCTGGTGTCTGCTACGATTACTAATGACTCAAAGAAACATAGACAGAGAAAACTTTTTATTTAATAACGTTAATATTTCTTTGATTCACTATTCGTCATATCTACAACACGAATCAGATTAAACTGAAGGCCAGATACCCGACGGAGAGGGCGGAGGACCTCGAGGAGGTGGAAGTGGAGGTGGAGGTGGAGGGGGAGGTGCGGTATTTGGAGCAGTAGCACGGGAGGGTGGCGTAAGACGGTGACCTCTCCTACCATCACGATGACCTTGTTTGACACCTCCAGGAGCACTGCTGTTGTTGTCTAACACGCGCCTGGTGGAGTATTTCCTACTGGCCTTCTTCGCCTCCTCCATTCCCCCGTGTTTCTCTATGAAGTCGTAGACAAAATTGCGGGTGTCGTCGTCAGCCATCTTGCTCTGATCCAGCCCAACCTGGCGACGCAAAGCATCACGTGAGATAACTGAAACAAACTCCATACTAATTTTGTGTTGTGTGTATGTGATATTGCATATCACGACCGCCACAATTTTGCTCAACCTCGGACATCCATGTCGTTGCCCTTACAATAGCTCCACACAAAAGTGTATACACATCTCCACCCTCTTCGAGATCACCCACTATCAGAATCTCTCCAACACCTTCCCTTCCACACACCCACAAAATCCAACAACACCTTCCTCCTCTTAAAATATACTCACTGCAGCAAACAGGTGTTGAAGTTCCTCATCAACATTAAAGGTGGAGAAAGTTTTGTTGATGTCAAAGCCAGCGTGGCTGATGTGTTGGAAATCAAAGGGACCTCCTATCATCGACTTTCTGCAATGTGGAGGCAACATATTAGGCAGAAGGAAGGGACGGGAAGGAATGAGGCAGAGGACTATAGACAGGTTAGCTAGTAGTAAACTGTGCCTACTTTTGGCTTAGTTACTAACCTATATTTCTTCTTTTCTCGTCTTGTCGCTATTCCTTTAAATATTTTCCTTTCTTTATGCTTATGCTCGTGTTGCTTCTGTTGTATTTGTTGTTGTTGCACGTGTTGTTGTTGTTCCTGCTGCTGCTGCTGTGGTTGACCCAACCCTGAAGACAGTTTTTGTTGTTGTTGTGCCATTATCTGCCGTCTTCGCTCTGAATGTAACAGAAATGCTATGTACATTTTAAAGTTAAAAAAATCGTTCATACCATTTTTTCAGTTTTGATTTTTTATAGTGCATACAATTTGAGTGTCTAGTCACTTTTTTACCTGTTTGACTGTAGATTAACTCTTCTACAATGTATGTGTGTGTGTATGTGTTTGTGTGCATGCATAAACATCTTCACCCCCAGGAGAGGAATATAACCTGACCTTCCCTCTTGAGCCTCCTGCTGGTGAGAAGACTGGTGACGGCGTTACTGAAGTTGAGAGCATCGTCATCGTCAGAGAAGTTGAGACCTATCATCCTTTCCTGAGAAAAGGAGGGGGGAGGGGAAATAGGTTAGTCTCTCTCTCTCTCTCTCTCTCTCTCTCTCTCTCTCTCTCTCTCTCTCTCTCTCTCTCTCTCTCTCTCTCTCTCTCTCTCTCTCTCTCTCTCTCTCTCTCCATTTTCATATAACATACCCAGAAGTTCGCCTCACCTCACTTTCGAACTGGTGGAAAAAGGAAACAGAGTTGCTGTATTCGAACTCTCTGTAAATCTCTTGTTCGAACACCTTGACCCTCTCTACGATGTCGTACACCTGTGAAGACACACACGCATCAGAATAGCTAAAACACATCATTGACAGGTGTGTTAAATACCTGCAATGCACATTAATTAACTGAGCTTAACAAATGACCTACATAAGTTTCTTTGCTGACCACGTATTAGAAACATAAGTTATTATTAAGTGTATTTATAGGAACATCCTAAACTCGAAAATGGTAAACTAGGCTGAAAAACATATCACTGCAGTAACTTTTGTCTTATTTTAAACAAGACAGATGAAGACATTAATAACAAGACAGATCAAGACACTAATAACAAAACAGATGAAGACATTAATGAAAACAAGAGGGATAATTTCAAAAAAACAATGGGTGTCGAAATTAATTCTTCCCAACAGGGTAGTGACCTTGATGTTCGAGGACCTAGGCCGATGATAATCAAGGTCACTTCCCAACAGGGTAAAGTGTGACCTTGATGTTCGAGGACCTAGGTCGATGATCATCTATACCTCTACTTAAATTAAGCAGGAGAGGGGTAGTTTTGCTTGGTAACCAACTATGACTGGAGAAGGCCATGTCTGCATTAGTGTTGCTGCTACACAATCTTTGTAAAATAAATTTTAACACACACACTATACACTGAATGAAAATAATTCAGACTAACTTCGTTGGGTTATATTAAGTTAAATGTACACAATGTACCACAGTTGCCTGCATAAAATATGTATGTGCTCCCAGAACTACACTATTGTAGAAATTAATACTGTTGGTAAAATATTTGCAAATCTGTCTGGGTGAAGTTCGTCTTATCGTACCTGAATGTAGAAGGATCTTTTTGTGCTGTCTCTGGTGAAGGTGATGACACCGGCAGTCATCTTGGTCCAGGTGTTATGGTGAGGCGGCACTGTGGAGAATACTTGCACCACCCCAGTCGCCTTGGCCTGCACATGTCAAGAATACGCTCAGACAACGACGGTGGTGTTAAATATCTACAAATTATACATGAAGAAAGTTCATTATCAACCAGGCTGTGGTGCCTACGTTGGTTGCGTGGCCAGCGCCAACAGCCTAATTGATTACGTCATGTTTGGACACAGGTCGAGGAGCGGTGACCCAGTGGCTTCGCTGGCAAAGCTCTCGTTTCACCCACGGAGGGCCCGGGTTCGATTCCCGGCGGGGTAGAAACATTTCGACGTGTTTCCTTACACCTGTTGTCCTGTTCACCTAGCAGCAAGTAGGTACCTGGGTGTTAGTAGAATGGTGTGGGTGGCATCCTGGGGGACAACACTGAGGACCACAATGGAAATAAGTCAGACAGTCCTCGATGACGCACTGACTTTCTTGGGTTATCCCGGGTGGCTAACCCTCAGGGGTTAAAAATCCGAACGAAATCTTATCTTATAAATCTAGTATTGATAGCCTACATGGGAAAAGATGGACATCGCAGGACATTAAGTCCATACCGAAGCTATGTACTGAGGTGAGCAATATACTTGCATCTAGATTGAAGATTGTCATGAATTATCTACGTAATTACATATCTGTAAATATTTATATGTAGTTACAGTAGCAGAGGTTTGCTTGTGGTACCCCGTCCATAGTAATTTGTTCTTTACATATTGTCATTTTCATCGAATGTAGAACTTATTACATTCTCTTGTAATTCATACCACTGATCTACCACACTGTGAAGAAAAATTTACTGTTCTTTCTTCTGGTCTTCAATGTCCTAATATCTCCTCCCATAGTTCCCGGAGTTGCTCTACAGTGACTTATCTCCCTTCACGAGATCCACTTTATTTTCAGTAATGTAGGTTGAATGGCCTGACTAATGTTACCCATGAGTCGCCAATGTTATTGAAATTGGGAAAATTGAAATAGTGGTTTTCATGCGATAATGTATGAATATCTGATACGATCAGCTTCATTCCTTCGATGCCGATAACTTGAAAATGTAACTTCTGAACTGCTTCAAACTCGTAGTTCTGGTGTATTTTGAAATAGCAGTCTTTATAAAGATAACTCAGTAGCTTTAAATCATCACTCTGTGCTTTTCCTTTTGTTTACACTGAGATAAAGGAGGCGTAATTTGCAGGATACGAAGATACCTTTCTCAGATCACTGAGGAAAAAGGGGCTAAACTTATAAGGGATACAGAGATGCCTTTTTCGAATCACTGAGGTAGACGGGATGAGCTTATGGGATACCTATCACGGATCATGTAACGACCGACACACATTACTGGTGCTGCTTTTCACACCTGGCTGTCTTCAAGCAGGCACTGGACAGGCACCTAAAGTCAGTACCTGACCAGCTGTTGCCGCACGTTGGGTTACGTGCGGCAACAGTAACAGCCTGGTTGATCAGGCCCTGATCCACCATGAGGTCTGGTCACAGACCGAGCCGCGGGGGGCGTTGACCCCCGGAACCCTCTCCAGGTATACATTATTATTATGGGGAGCGCTAAGCCCGTAGGATTATACAGCACATGGGGGATGGAAGGTATTCAAGCTCAATTCAGGGAACCGGAGCACAGCTCCAATTCCCTAGATTAAGAGCCCCTCACCAGCGTCAAGGTAGGGGTCTGCAGGTATACAATCTGACCAAGACTTACCTCACAGCCAGGCTGGAGTAGGCTGAAGACGTCATCATTTTCTTCCTCGCTGAGTGCCTTGGACGGCCTATGTCGAGGCAGAATGGTCACCCTACTGTTAATGTGGCTCCCTCCTGATACTGATGTGACTCCTTCCTGGTGGTGATGAGTCTCCATCCTAGTGATGGTGTGGCTTCACCCCTGGCACACGATGGTGTGGCTTCACCCCTGGCACACGATGGTGTGGCTTCACCCCTGGCACACGATGGTGTGGCTTCACCCCTGGCACACGACGGTGTGACTTCACCCCTGGCACACGATGGTGTGGCTTCACCCCTGGCACACGATGGTGTGACTTCACCCCTGGCACACGACGGTGTGGCTTCACCCCTGGCACACGATGGTGTGGCTTCACCCCTGGCACACGATGATGTGACTTCACCCCTGGCACACGATGGTATGACTTCACCCCTGGCACACGATGGTGTGGCTTCACCCCTGGCACACGATGGTGTGGCTTCACCCCTGGCACACGATGGTGTGACTTCACCCCTGGCACACGATGATGTGACTTCACCCCTGGCACACGATGGTATGTCATTAGGACATCAAGAAGCCGGTTGTGTAATAATAATAATAATAATAATAATAATAATAATAATAATAATAATGTTACAGGATTATTATAAGGGGAGCGCTAAACCAGTAGGATTATGCAGCGGAAGGTACTCAGGTTTAATTCAGGGAACTGGAGCACAGATCCAATTCCCTAGATCAAGAGCCCTTCACCAGCATATTTGTTACAGGATCTGGATGAATCATAGATCCGTAAGTTCTGTAGTAAGTCTGCTCGTTATCTCTGTGTTATCTTTGAGATTGTAGATTAGTGCAGTATATGTAACTAACCAGCTCTGCTAGATATTGTTGATATCAACCTGACTTAAACTCTCCCCAGGAGCCTCGTTACTGCATCGAATTTGTCGTATATATCCTTGATCTTTCTTCCTGGTCATATTACTCAGCCTATGGTAGTGAGTGAGGAGAGAGAGAGAGAGAGGAGAGAGGAGAGAGAGAGAGAGAGAGAGAGAGAGAGAGAGAGAGAGAGAGAGAGAGAGAGAGAGAGAGAGAGAGAGAGAGAGAGAGAGAGAGAGAGAGAGATAATATAAGGCAGTATATACCACAGTATAATTCTCTCCTTATGTCATCTTAATGTGATAAAATCCAACTTAAATTATTTTTCTTATATTTTTTCAATGGTTGACCTTGACACTCATTATGGGTCAAAATACCTTTACCTAAATTTGTAATAATAATAATAATAATAATAATAATAATAATAATAATAATAATAATAATAATAATAATAATAATAATAATAATAATAATAATAAAAAGAAGAAGAAGAAGAAGAAGAAGAAGAAGAAGAAGAAGAAGAAGAAGAAGAAGAAGAAAAAGAACTATATTAAACTGCCGGGAACATGAAAGTAATGTAATAATAGTAATTATTTCAGAGCATCAACACATGATTTTCAAATTACCTTGAAAATTACACAGAACACGAACGATGTCATACACCTTTATGTTTGCTAATAGCACTTTGTTATATCTCCATGTATATGTTATATACCTTGTAATATATAAACACCGTGATGTATGTTAGAGATACAGAGCACAAGAAACACGTCCTCCCCCTCCCGCTGCTGTCTGGCTACTGACTCTCGCCTCACTCCTGATAAAAGATAACTTTATTTGCTCACTATACCTGGAGTTTACCTGGAGAGAGTTTCGGGGGTCAACGCCCCCGCGGCCCGGTCTGTGACCAGGCCTCCTGGTGGATCAGCGCCTGATCAACCAGGCTGTTGCTGCTGGCTGCACGCAAACCAACGTACGAGCCACAGCCCGGCTGATCAGGAACTGTCTTTAGGTGCTTGTCCAGTGCCAGCTTGAAGACTGCCAGGGGTCTGTTGGTAATCCCCCTTATGTGTGCTGGGAGGCAGTTGAACAGTCTCGGGCCCCTGACACTTATTGTATGGTCTCTTAACGTGCTAGTGACACCCCTGCTTTTCATTGGGGGGATGGTGCATCGTCTGCCAAGTCTTTTGCTTTCGTAGTGAGTGATTTTCGTGTGCAAGTTTGGTACTAGTCCCTCTAGGATTTTCCAGGTGTATATAATCATGTATCTCTCCCTCCTGCGTTCCAGGGAATACAGGTTTAGAAACCTCAAGCGCTCCCAGTAATTGAGGTGTTTTATCTCCGTTATGCGCGCCGTGAAAGTTCTCTGTACATTTTCTAGGTCGGCAATTTCACCTGCCTTGAAAGGTGCTGTTAGAGTGCAGCAATATTCCAGCCTAGATAGAACAAGTGACCTGAAGAGTGTCATCATGGGCTTGGCCTCCTAGTTTTGAAGGTTCTCATTATCCATCCTGTCATTTTTCTAGCAGATGCGATTGATACAATGTTATGGTCCTTGAAGGTGAGATCCTCCGACATAATCACTCCTAGGTCTTTGACGTTGGTGTTTCGCTCTATTTTGTGGCCAGAATTTGTTTTGTACTCTGATGAAGATTTAATTTCCTCATGTTTACCATATCTGAGTAATTGAAATTTCTCATCGTTGAACTTCATATTGTTTTCTGCAGCCCACTGAAAGATTTGGTTGATGTCCGCCTGGAGCCTTGCAGTGTCTGCAATGGAAGACACTGTCATGCAGATTCGGGTGTCATCTGCAAAGGAAGACACGGTGCTGTGGCTGACATCCTTGTCTATGTCGGATATGAGGATGAGGAACAAGATGGGAGCTAGTACTGTGCCTTGTGGGACAGAGCTTTTCACCGTAGCTGCCTCGGACTTTACTCTGTTGACGACTACTCTCTGTGTTCTGTTAGTGAGGAAATTATAGATCCATCGACCGACTTTTCCTGTTATTCCTTTAGCGCGCATTTTGTGCGCTATTACGCCATGGTCACACTTGTCGAAGGCTTTTGCAAAGTCTGTATATATTACATCTGCATTCTTTTTGTCTTCTAGTGCATTTAGGACCTTGTCGTAGTGATCCAGTAGTTGAGACAGACAGGAGCGACCTGTTCTAAACCCATGTTGCCCTGGGTTGTGTAACTGATGGGTTTCTAGATGGGTGGTGATCTTGCTTCTTAGGACTCTTTCAAAGATTTTTATGATATGGGATGTTAGTGCTATTGGTCTGTAGTTCTTTGCTGTTGCTTTACTGCCCCATTTGTGGAGTGGGGCTATGTCTGTTGTTTTTAGTAACTGTGGGACGACCCCCGTGTCCATGCTCCCTCTCCATAGGATGGTAAAGGCTCGTGATAGGGGCTTCTTGCAGTTCTTGATGAACACAGAGTTCCATGAGTCTGGCCCTGGGGCAGAGTGCATGGGCATGTCATTTATCGCCTGTTCGAAGTCATTTGGCGTCAGGATAACATCGGATAGGCTTGTGTTAACCAAATTCTGTGGCTCTCTCATAAGCAATACCTCTGATAACATGGAAGGGGGGGCTTTATGTTTCTGAAAACTTAGTGTATTATAGATAATAATTTGTCAAGAAAAGAACATGTGGGAAAAATAGATTTACATACCAGACACAATACCTAGTACAATACAGTAGTACAAAAAAATTGTCATTTTTTGTACTACTTTATTGTAATAGGTCAAAATTACTACAGTATAACCCACCTCATATGCTGTTAGGCTTTAAATTACAGAAATAATTTATATCCGATGTTATCCTGACGCCAAATGACTTCGAACAGGCGATAAATGACATGCCCATGCACTCTGCCCCAGGGCCAGACTCATGGAACTCTGTGTTCATCAAGAACTGCAAGAAGCCCCTATCACGAGCCTTTACCATCCTATGGAGAGGGAGCATGGACACGGGGGTCGTCCCACAGTTACTAAAAACAACAGACATAGCCCCACTCCACAAATGGGGCAGTAAAGCAACAGCAAAGAACTACAGACCAATAGCACTAACATCCCATATCATAAAAATCTTTGAAAGAGTCCTAAGAAGCAAGATCACCACCCATCTAGAAACCCATCAGTTACACAACCCAGGGCAACATGCGTTTAGAACAGGTCGCTCCTGTCTGTCTCAACTATTGGATCACTACGACAAGGTCCTAAATGCACTAGAAGACAAAAAAAATGCAGATGTAATATATACAGACTTTGCAAAAGCCTTCGACAAGTGTGACCATGGCGTAATAGCGCACAAAATGCGTGCTAAAGGAATAACAGGAAAAGTCGGTCGATGGATCTATAATTTCCTCACTAACAGAACACAGTGAGTAGTCGTCAACAGAGTAAAGTCCGAGGCAGCTACGGTGAAAAGCTCTGTTCCACAAGGCACAGTACTCTCTCCCATCTTGTTCCTCATCCTCATATCCGACATAGACAAGGATGTCAGCCACAGCACCGTGTCTTCCTTTGCAGATGACACCCGAATCTGCATGACAGTGTCTTCCATTGCAGACACTGCAAGGCTCCAGGCGGACATCAACCGAATCTTTCAGTGGGCTGCAGAAAACAATATGAAGTTCAACGATGAGAAATTTCAATTACTCAGATATGGTAAACACGAGGAAATTAAATCTTCATCAGAGTACAAAACAAATTCTGGCCACAAAATAGAGCGAAACACCAACGTCAAAGACCTGGGAGTGATCATGTCGGAGGATCTCACCTTCAAGGACCATAACATTGTATCAATCGCATCTGCTAGAAAAATGACAGGATGGATAATGAGAACCTTCAAAACTAGGGAGGCCAAGCCCATGATGACACTCTTCAGGTCACTTGTTCTATCTAGGCTGGAATACTGCTGCACACTAACAGCACCTTTCAAGGCAGGTGAAATTGCTGACCTAGAAAATGTACAGAGAACCTTCACGGCGCGCATAACGGAGATAAAACACCTCAATTACTGGGAGCGCTTGAGGTTCCTAAACCTGTATTCGCTGGAACGCAGGCGGGAGAGATACATGATTATATACACCTGGAAAATCCTAGAGGGACTAGTACCGAACTTGCACACGAAAATCACTCACTACGAAAGCAAAAGACTTGGCAGACGATGCAACATCCCCAATGAAAAGCAGGGGTGTCACTAGCACGTTAAGAGACAATACAATAAGTGTCAGGGGCCCGAGACTGTTCAACTGCCTTCCAGCATACATAAGGGGGATTACCAACAGACCCCTGGCAGTCTTCAAGCTGGCACTGGACAAGCACCTAAAGTCGGTTCCTGACCAGCCGGGCTGTGGCTCGTACGTTGGTTTGCATGCAGCCAGCAGTAACAGCCTGGTTGATCAGGCTCTGATCCACCAGGAGGCCTGGTCACAGACCGGGCCGCGGGGGCGTTGACCCCCGCAACTCTCTCCAGGTAAACTCCAGGTAATAATAAACTTCTCGTAACATGGATCCATCCATCTATTTTGTTTTTTTAAAAGTTCTTTGTACTTTTCAGGACCCGAACATCCGTCAGTTTTACTCATCAGTGTTAATAGTACAGAAGGAGGATACAAATGGCAGCTTAATATTGAAACTATAGCAAATAACTTAAATGCCAAGGTGGCCTGGTTGGTAAAGCTCTCGCTTCACACATGGAGGGCCCAGGTTCAATTCCTGGCGGAGTGGAAATATTTCGACGTTTCCTTACTCCTTGTGGAAAATTGCATTTATCTGAATGTAACTCATTATGTACATAACAGTAAATGATAACAAAGATAATTATTATTTATCAGTTACATAGACAAGTAGGAATTTGGGACACCTAGGTCGCAAAAATGTCCCCCTTCGATACCTACCACTGTCCACAAGTTGCTCTAGAGCTATTAATTACAAATGAAAGATGCATCAACAAGAATTCTGGTAAATATATAAATTTGTGGACTGTATATTAAAATTAAAAAAGGATTATATATATACACATACACATAACAGAAGGAGAATATATCTTAATATCACTCACCAATTTGACTGGAGATTAAGGTGTATTATACCCAGAAAATCTCAGTCTACATTTATGATAATAATACTGGCCCGAACTATAAACATAAATATAGACATGACTTATCTGAGGTTCCTGGAGCTGTCTTGTCCAGTCGCCTGATATCTCAAGTTATGCAAGAATGCACATCCAACAATTTCGGCTCCTATTTGAGAGGTGTCAGCCCAATTTTAACCTCTAGAGCACGAAAATTCTTCCCAATATTCACTAACGTTTGTTACTCAATTCAAAAAACAATGGCGAGTCTCGTCTGCGCAGGCGCAGTTTCCCATTTTTTATAACAAATTTTTATTAAATACAGTATGTTACACTAATTTATATAAAAAATACACTGTATTTTTTCTGGAAAATACATTATTTTCCACAATGTCCTCTAAATACCTTATCTTTATTTCACAAAAAAATAAAGTTTGTTAGTTCTTGGAATGTTGCAAAATATCTGCCCTTTACTCCCACATAAATCCCCAAATAATTGGAATATTTCCCCAAAATATACCTTTAGTAATTAGATAAATCATTATTTTACAATTTCTGTGAATATTATTCCATTTAATTAAGTAATAAAGGAAGAATTATGGATATTAGGTGAATAAGTTACTTCCGAGATATTGACCTGGAACGCTGGCCGACCCGCCGTCTAGAATTTTT